TCTGTCTGTTTCTGTACGTGCGTGTCTGTCTGTGTGTGTATGTGTGTGTGTGTGTGTGTGTGTGTGTGTGCGTGTCTGTGTGTGTGCGCGCGCATGTATGTGTGTTTGTGCGTTTGTGTGAGCGTGCACCCGTACCTTTTACATATCCCCAAGCCTTCCCTTTTGTGCTGATATTTCTAAAAAGCCCTTGTCGCGACCCGCTAAATGCGCACATTCTGTGCAAAACGGATCTAACGGGATATGTTGTGAACCGCATCCCACACCCTGCTCTAACAAGTTCATTGATTTTGTGTCTCAATTTTTCCGAGGAAAGGTTTCTCTTTGGGGGTAGCATTCTGTGTAAATAGAGCATGGCAGAGTCGACCTGATAGTGCTGTTGCGTATCGGTCCTGAGCGGGAATCACGACTCGTGTTGTGAACGTCGTGGATACGTAGATCGGTGAAAGAAATCAGGCCACTCCTCTTATGAAGAAGAAAACATCCGCGGATGAGTAGGAGAAGGGGGAAGAGGGAGAAGAGGTAGAGGAGGTAGAAGAAAAAGAAAAGAGGAGGAGGGGAGGGGAGGAGGTAAAAGAGAAAGAAAAGAGGAGGAGGAGGAGGAGGAGGGGGAGGAGGAGGAGGAGGGGGGGAGGAGGTAGAAGAGAACGAAAAGAGGAGGAAAAAAGAGGAGGTAGAAGAGAACGAAAAGAGGAGGAAAAAGAGGAGGTAGAAGAGAAAGAGATTTGGAGGAGGAGGAGGAGAACAAGAGAAGGGGAAAAGGAGGAGGAGGAAGAGGGGAACGAGGGTAGGAGGGAAGGTGGATGAGGAGAGGGGGCAGACGGAAGAGGAATAGGAGGCAGAGGGGAGAAGGGGGAACGGGAGAGGGAGGACCAAGAGGAGAAGGAGTAGAAGGAGGAAGAGAAGAACAGAGGGGGGGGATTAGGAGCTTGCTCAGGAGTGTGAGGAGCAGAAAGAAGAAAAGTGTGTTGGGGAGAGGGGGGGGGGTGGAGAATAAGATAAACGAATGAACCGTCCAGCAAACAAAAATGTTCAACATAGGAACACGTGAGTGAACAAAAGAAACGCATTTTTTGCATTGATGTTTGTCTTAGGCAAATTCCTAACAAAGATACGTACATCATCAGTACGTTACGTTATACGGGACCTATCTACTACCCAAACCCTTTAGCCCCTATGTCAGATCCGGCCGCAGTATATAATTATTATTTCGACTGTCTGACGGACAGCTGGGAAAGTCCTATAGTTCCGCGAAGCCGTGAACAAGACCGGATGTTTCTCCTCTCCGCGATGTAACTTCGTTGCGCGAACAGTTCCACTTTTAGCTCTTGATTGGCCAAGACCTACGGATTCTCCCCCTCAATCTCTCTCTCTCTCTCCCTCTCCCGCTCTCACTCTCTTTCTCTCCCTCATCTGCGCCCAGGTTGTAAGTTGTTCACACTTCATTAGCGCGTGCTCTTTCTTCTCGCGTTGAAGAGACCGCCCAAAGTGACAAGATACTGTGAAGACTACAGTACGGTTCGTATCTTTCGTAACCTTTGATTTGTAGATTATATCACTGGTATATCTTACTTGCTGTGTTTAAATCGGTCTCTTTGGGGTTTTTGATTGTTTATTTTTGTTTGCTTTTTGTTTATTTATTTATTAATTAATTTTTCCTTT